AACATTATGATTATAATTCTTAACTAATAATTGTTGTTATTATATATAGTTTTACTATGTTAGATAAAACCTTTCCCTTCTTATTTGGACAAAAAGGGGGAAGTGTGTGATAATTTGATTGAATTCTGACAATAAAGTTTCCTTTGAGTCAGAAGGTGGAGTTAGCCATTAGCTGACCAAAATTAACCATAGAGTTTTTGGATGACTGAGGAAAGATAGGAGACAGGAAGTAGTAAGGCAGGGCTCAGAGAGGATTTCAACCCTTTTGGATGGAGGAATGGAAGAGATAGGAGGTCACTGGTGGCTTCTCCACAACTTCTCTGAACATTCAGGTTCTTACCCTGATATCTGACTCCTGATTTTTTATTGATAAAGAATAATTAGATAAACACATCAAATCCCAGAGGTGCCCGCAGATTCCACTTGCCTCTCCCATACTTTCTCCCTCCACTCACCCACCCATCCCTTCTGTCCCATCCCTATTCCCACTTTCAGGTCCTTCCCCACATCCACTGACAATGTCCATTTTACTTCCCATTCACAGTGAGATTCATACATCTCCCATCCCTCTTGAGCCCTACTTGTTAGCTTCTTTGGGTGTGTGGGTTGTAGGATGATCTTCTTTACTTTATGGATAATATTCACTTATGAGTGAGTGCATACCATGTTTGTCTTTCTGGGTCTGGGTTACCTCACTAGGGATGATCTTTTCTAGTTTCATCCATTTGCCAGCAATTTCCTGGTATCATTGGTTTTAACAGCTGAGTAATACACCATTGTGTAAATGTTCCACATTTTCTTCAGTTGAGAGACATCTAGGTTGTTTCCGGGTTCTGGCTATTATGAATAAAGCTGCTATGGAACATAGTTGTGCAAATTTCCCTATGGTATGGTGGAGTGTCCTTTGGGTATATGCACAGAAGTGGTATAACTAGATTCTGAGGTAGATCGATTCCCAATTTTCTGAGAAACAGGCATATTGGCATCTCTGTGAGTTTGAGACCAGCCTGATCTGCAGACCAAGTTTCAGGATAGCTAAGGCTGTGACACAAAGAAACACAGCCTGGAAAAAAAAACTAAAATAAATAAATAAATAAATGACATGATACTCAATAGATTCAATCATGTCTTAATAAAATAAAATAAAAAGAAATGTTTTCAGAGTGTAGTAGGGCAAAACTTTAATCCCAGCGCTCAGGCAGACACAGATCTTTGTGAGTTTTAGACCAGACAGGGCTACATAGTGATATACTGTCTCAAAAACAAACAAAAATAAAATGTATGACTTAAGGCTGAAACAAAATATAAACCACTATGGAGCTGAAGTTCTGCAATGTAAGAAAGAAGGAATCTTCATTTTTAAATGCTAAGATTTTCTTTTATTTGACAAAGTTGTAGTGGTCAGAATTTCAGACTTTGAAATTATAGACAGGGACACAGCCAAATGAGTGACAGGCTCACTCCTGTAGTCACCATTCAATGGCTTCCTCTACTGAAGTTCATTTCCTACAGAAACTGGTGGTGAAAAGTCAGATACACCTTAAGGATTAACACATTGTTTTAATAATTTCTTCTTTCGCTGTAGTCTTTTTCTGAGGAAGGTCTGTTTGTGTTTAATATCTAGATAGAAAATGACATAATACATAATTGTATGCAATTGTATTTTTAATAAATTTTTAAAGACTACAAAGAATTTGCAAACATGAATGTTTTTTTAAAGCATTAAATGGAATTAAGTAAAAGCCAGAGTGTTTCACTTTTGCCGTTTGTTTCATCTCGTATATTTTTAGACATTTATTGGAGCATATTGGACATTTATTGCACCCCCTGCTACAGCTTTTTTGTGAAAGTCATAGGACAGCTTGCAGAGCACTTCTCTCCTTCCACCATGCTGGTTCCAAGGGTCGAACTCGGGTCATCAGGCTCTATGGCAAGTGCCTTTTTGCCTGCTGTGTCACCTTGTTTGGCCAGGTTTGGGTTATTTGAAGCAGGCTCTTACTGTGTAGGCCAGACTGTGCCTAGAACTCACTATGTAACCTAGGCTGCCCTCAAAATGGTAGTAATCTTCTTGCTTTTATCTCCTAGGATTGCAGATGGACAGTTGACTCCAAAATAGATTTGGTTTGTTGTTTTGGTTTGGTTCATGTTTTTTTTTTTTTTTTTGGTTTGAGTTTTGATTTTTAAGGCAGGGTTTCTCTGTAGATCCTTGGCTGTCCTGAAGCTCTCTCTGTAGAACAGGCTGGCCTCAAATTCATAGAGATCTGCCTGCCTCTGCCTCCCGAATGCTGGGATTAAAGGTATATGCTACCACTGCCTGGATAGATTTTTTTTAAAGATTTATTTTCATTTTTAACTGTGTATTTGTGTGTTTGGATAGGGGTATGTACATGTGAGTACAGATGGCACTGAAGACAAGAAGAGGGTGTCAGATCCCCTGGAGGTGGAGTTACTGGCAGTTACCAGCAGCCTGGCATAGGTATTGGGGACAGAACTCAAATCCTCTGAAGTATATGCTGAGAAGTCTCTGCAGCCCCAGCTTCTTAAGGATTGTTTTCAACACTGTGAATGCTAGTACTATATAGGAGACCAGAAACTCAAGAGAACATAAAGCAACCGGATCCTATTCTCTGGTTGAGCTCATGTCAGTAACAACTGAAGGAGATTCATGGTTCAAGTATGGCCCACGTGCAATAGAAATTAGGAAGTGCAGCATAGATGAAGGAAGTACATCATGTGTGGGGGTACCCTGGAAGGACTTATATTGTTCATGGTCCCTTGCTGTCTGTCTCTCTGCTTCTTGACTGCTGTTAGATGCACAACCTCCTCCACCACACTGCTATCAAAATCGCCTTGTTCCGGACCATATAAATAGATCAAGATGGACAAAGAAACCTTGAAAACCAGGAGCTAGAATTATCTTTTCTCTCTTAAGTTGCACTTCTCAGGTATTTTGACACAGTGATGAAAGGTCTGAATAAAATAGCCACAATCTCCTCTATCCTCTAGACACATTCTTCCAAGCATGACATGAGAATGCCACATTGGAAGGGGCCAAATACATATGTACAAAAGACAAGAATCTAGGGCTACTAATGATGGAGCTAAGACAACAAAGGCCTGAAGAGCAGACAATGCAAGTGTCATTCACATCTCTAGAAACTACATCATCTCCAACATGATGGCGATGGTGGGAAAGAGTTTCCTAACTGACTGAAATTAATTGTTTTCGCCCTATGGATGATGTCCTCCAAATATCAATTGAATTGTTCTAGAATGGGTATATTTCTATAGTTTACAATCTAGGAGACATGTCTTTTGTACAATGTTGGTTCCTGATGAACTAGTTTAAGAAAGATACTTCCAATGTAACATAATGTGTTAATTAATAAAAGAAGTCTATAATACATTACCCATTAGACTATGACAAATTTTCCACAGAAATCTTTTTTATATTCTGTCTCTCTGTCTTTGTCTCTCTCTCTCTCTCTCTCTCTCTCTCTCTCTCTCTCTCTCTCTCTGTGTGTGTGTGTGTGTGTGTGTGTGTGTGTGTGTATTATGCATGCATCTATCCATGCTCAAAGAGAGGCCAGAGCTCAGTGCAAGATTTCTTCCTCCATTGCACCCCACCCCCAGATATTTTTAAAGGTCAAAGATAGTTTTATTAGAGTTTAAGAAAAAAATGACATGACAAGAAAGCTGCTGGGAAGAGGAAAAAGAAAGTCATGTTTTTTGAGTTAGGGTCAAAAGAAGCCAGTGAACTTGTGGATAAAGTGTTGGTTTAGCAGGTAAGAGCATCAGCTACAGAAGACCCAGGTTCAATTCCCAGTACCCACATGGCAGCTTACAGCTGCTGTGCTTCTGTGGCCATAGGAGGACGGAGGCACATGAGAGTCCTCTAGGTTTAGGCATGGAATCTGAACGTGTGGTAAAATAAGTGTCCTATCCACAAATTCTCCTGAAGGAAATGTGTTGGTCTGTCATGATGCTAGCGAGCTAGAGACTCAGAAGACCTGTATACACCTGATAGGAGATTGATCTTGTTTGAGATCCTGCTTGGAGGGTCACTGGGTATTCAAGTGTGACTCCTTCTATCTGGAGTTATCAGAGACCCCTGACATGAAGAATTTATGTGTTCAGCCAATTAAAGACAAAGGAAAGTGCTGCCTTGTCTTCCTGCCTTCCTGGAGAACCTGGAGTTCTATAATTGGAAATGCCAGGTTTTTTCATATGCTTATTTCTATGTATTATTTGAGAAGTCTTGACATAAATATGAAGAGCCAATTCACACTGAACTGCTCCCCCTTGAAAAGAAATAGAGTAGTAGAAGCACAACTGACAGATTCAAGATTGTAACCCTCACCTTTTACCTATTTCGTTTGATTGCTTTATCAAATTATTGAGGAAAATTTTGGAACAAAATACAAAAGAGCTTTTTTATTCTTAGTACTAAAGTCGGTTCACACACACACACACACACACACACACACACACACACACACACACACACAAAGTATATTAAGGGGGAAATGACGCCATTAGAATTTTGGATTAAACTCCAGTATTTTGAAACTATGCTGTAGAAAAGTTAGAGGGAAAGGTTTGTGATTTGTATGTGTATCCTAAGACTTGCACATAGTCGGAACCTGATAGATACCAGTCAACTCCTTGTATGCATGAAGTAAGAAATCAATCCACAACCATGGACGGCATTGTAGCCCCTAAAAAAAGGGAACCAATAGCTATAAGCCATCAAAATTCCTAACTTTCGGTAACAATTCCCAACTTCCTATTGCCTTTGCTGTAAAACATGGCAGGAGGAGAGGGAAAAAATGAGGAGGAAGGCGGAATCCTCCATTTTAAACACATCAATAAATTATCCGGACTCACTAAATGGGAAACACACAGCGCGAGGCGCAGCTACTTCCGGAACCAAGACGGAACCACTTTCCCGAACATGTGCAGTTCAGCGGGAAGGCTTTAGGAATAGGACCACTTCCTGCTTCTGGATAGGGGCGGGTGCCGAGAAAGGAAATCGCTGTGGGAGCCGCATCCTGCCTGCGCTAGCGGCGCCAGAGGTGGAGGCAGAGAGGGCGGAGGAGGCAGAGAAGGGTGCCGCAGAGAAAAAAGTGTCAAAGCCAGTAAGTCAGAGCCTTAGAGCAGGGGATGGAGAGCAGAGCTCCAGGTCTCGCTGTGCAGATCTGTGATCTCAACTTGCCGAACTGCCCCAGTGCGGTTAGGGCAGTGCTTTGTAGGTCGCCTGTCAGTCAGCCCCGAAAAGAGACTATTGGGGCGCCTGGGTTGGGCCTTGCGGGGCGCCAGACTGCGCTATTTGCCGGCCGACCAAGGGGTCTTGAAGCCAGGGAAAGCCTGTACTGTGCTTTCTGGGGACGCCAGGGCTCCGTCCTGGACAGCTTCACTTGGAATTCTGAGGGAGTGAGCACTGTGCATTTGGAAGCCAGTGAGATCCTGGTGGCGGACAGTATTTCGGGAATAAGACAAGGGCTTGGGAGACTGTTAGTCTGGAGCTATACTTTCCCTGCCCTTGTTCAAGCTGTCCGGGCTGGTCGGAAGCTGAGTTGTTTTTAAAAGCAAATGCCTCGGCCTCCTCTCTGTCTCTTCGGAATGAGTTAACAACCTTCATATCCAGTGTTAAGACATGTTTCCTATCCGACTCATTAAATTAATACTGCTGTGGTATCAAGTGTTTGCTCTGCAAATATACTTGAAGGCATAGTTCAAAACAAAACTAAACAAAAACCTCCAAGTGCATTTCGAACAGAGAGACAAGACCGACTAGCTATCATGACTACTTTCACACTTTGCCTCACTTTCACTTGTAATCAATTGACTTAGCCTCCTTAGTTAATGTCATCGTAAAGGCATTCCATTGCGTTATGATTGTGCATCTGCACAAAAATTATATCGAGATGTAAGATTCTTGATTACATACGAAATAAGTGAAATGATTATAAAAGTTGCTGGAGAAATCAGAAACAGTTTTTAGTAAGTTACTGCTTTTCTTTTGCCTAAGGTACGGCTTTAGAATACAGTGAAAGATACTTTTCATGGTGCATGGAAGGAAAGCCAATGCGCAGGTAAGCCATTTAAGAAGAAATAAAACATTTATTTTACTGGTTGAAGTTTAGCAGCTGTTATTTTATTTTAAATTTTTTATTTAAAATTATTTTATTCGCAAACCTTATTAAATCCTGCTTGGAATTAATCATTTTTGTTTCAAGTAAATCAAAACTAACAATATCAGAAATTAGCAGCTATTTTGTTTGTTTTGGATTTGTTTTTGTTGTTGTTGTAAGCAAGAACTTACTATGTAGTCCTGGAATGTGCTATGTAGACCAAGCTGGCCTCAAACTCACAGAGATCCATCTGCCTCTGTCTCCCAAGTACTGGAATTAAAGGTGTGCACCACTCACTACACTCTGCAGCTTTTTCAATGAAATGTAGGTGTTAGATTTCTAAAGAGAGTTTGGATTTTTCGGCTCTTAATACTTAAATCTGCCTTTTGGCATAGTAATGTTTGTTACGCATAACCATATGATGTTTTGTATGATTATTAAAAATTCAGTCCCCTGTATAATATAGAAGATTTCTGTTGTGAAATAAAAGCAATATTTGTAAGATACTGTACTGCATCCCTAGTTATGTTTTGGTTGTTTTACTGGTGTTCAATAATATATTATGTTTATTAAATAGGTGCATGAAAGAGTAGATTAAGGAATAAATAAAATAGGTGTAGAAAAAATAGAAGTGTGATTACAGGCTCTCTTGCCTCTAGAATTTATTAATACCTTTTCTCAATCCGTCCCAACAAATTATACTGGAATCTTTATTGAAACAAGTCAATTCTATTTATTCATTGATTAAACTCATAGTATTATTGTCAAACTCTATTTTGTCATATGTTCCTTAACATCAAAGGTTAAACAACACAAAGATTCTTTAAGAAAAGAGAAATTGCAGCATAAGGACAGGGCTTAGGGTTAGGAGACGGGCTGGACATGACTGTGCAAACCTGTAAAGCCCGGTGCCTTGCAGGCAGAGGCAACAAGATCTCAGGATCAAGTTCAAGTAAAAGGAGGGAGAATATATGTCCTTTTCCAGATTTGTTACTGATTAATCAATTGGTTTTGAACCATTTTACTTTTTCTTGCCCTGTTAACTTCGCTGGTGTATCTGTCCGTGGTATTCAGAATTAGCAAATGTTCACAAATGCTTTAAGATGTACAAATGAAAAGACATCATAGAGCTGACACTTTCCATTAGGGTAATGGAACCTACATTATGTCTTACCTTACGGTAGGAATAGTATTAGAAGAAATTAACTGTCCAATATTAAGTGCTTTATCACTTCATTTTCTAGCATGATATCAAAAGCCACCAATTTTGTTTTATCCTTAGTTACCATGTGTCATACCTTAAGTAACTGCTAAAATAAGAACTTAATATTGTTAATTAAATTTTATTTACATTTTTTCTTATAGTTTGGTCATATTCTCTCCCCTCCCCCAGCTCCTCCAAGATCCTACTCATGCAACTTCATGTTCTTTGTCTTCAAACACACACACACACACACACACACACACACACACACACACACACACTAACAATAACTACAACCATGGAGTATGTTTTGTGTTGGCCATCCAGTGTGGTTGATACACCCAGGGAAAACTGACTTTTCCTCTCTGAGCAATTATCAGTTGCAAATAGCTTCTTGTGCCCAATCCTCTTCTCAGTGCTGGGATTTTATAAAGGAAAGTCAGATTGTGGCAAAGTTCTTAGTTTATTAGTAATTTCTGTATAAAATATTCACTTAACCGCTCAGTCTGAGAAGCTTTGTTCCTTGCTTTATTTTTATTACATAATACTGTCAGTTATTCAAAATGATGTTGTATAATCTAATACCAATCAATTATTGAATTATAGCTCTTTATTATCATCACCTGGCCAGAGGCTAGCCTACCCACTATTCTTTGGTCTTACCTTCACTTAATCCCGCCAACATTAAGCCATGGTCACATTTCCCTATCTTTTCCTTCTACTAAAAACCTGTCGGACAATGCTGGGTCTATACTGAAATGCTGCTAAAGAAACTTTGAATATAAGTAACTCTTTTTATTGTGATTATTTGGATGCATGCTGATTCTCCTTCACAGACTGTAAGTTCATCCATAGTACCTAGTGCATACCACCATAATAGTATCACACCTAATGATTACTGAATTGTTGTCTGAATGAATAGCTCCTCCAGCTTTCCCCCTAGTGGGGGTAGTTTTAACATTATTTTCAATTGTATGTATTTATGCAGTAAGATGTGATAATGTAATACATGTATATCATGTGTGAAATGATTAAATCAAAGTAATCAGTTTATCATCTCCTAATATGTTTTTCCACTTATTATAGAAAACACTATGAAAATTTCTAAAAAAAAATACAAAAACCAACACTAGAACTATCACTTGACTAGCTATCCTATTACTGTATACATATATACTGTATGTATACACATATATATATGAAATGACATCACTGTATCAGAGAGAGTCCTGTTCTACCATGTTTATTGCAGCACACAGACATGATATATAATCACCTGAAGTATCCATTGAGTAGAAAAAGTAGAAGAGTAAACATACACACACACCATTATTTAGCCATTTTAAAAAATCCTATCATTGACACCCACCTAGATAGAAGTTTGTTATCGTTGTGTTAAATGAAATAAACCAGATATAAAAAGACAAAGCTGCATATTCTCAGAAGTAAAAACTACAGTAAACTTTTCAAATAAGTAGGAAATAGAATACTGGCTAGGAAAAGCAGGAGGGTGGGGGATATAAGGAGGCTGAATAATAGGCTCCCAAATAAGAAAGATAAATTCTGAGTTTTACAGCACAATAGGTTAAGGTTTATAACAATTTATCACATACTTTATAAGTCAGAAGAGGAATTTAAAGGCTCCCAGGACAAAGAAATTATGAGTATAAATACTTAAGGTATTATAATTCATAACTATACAATTTTATAAAATAAACTGGCATTTTATTAGCAAAAATTTCATTTAATGGTGTGTTTTTATGTGTATATGGCATTACATTTAAAAAATACAACAGCATATTCAAAATTGGACATAGTGGTGCATGCCTGTAATCTCAGCATGAGGGAAGTGGAGGCAGAGGGATCAGAAATCAAAAGTCATCCTCAACTACATAACAAGTCTGAGGCCAGCATAGGCTATACAAGGTTTTGTCTTAAAACAACAAAAATGGTGAAAGTAAGTCTCCCAGGACAGATCCCAGGTCCCACTGTTCTCCAAAGGCATAAACAATTTCATCTGCATTATTAGTAAGGCCTTACAATTCATGTGCAAGCATGTATAGAATATCCTCTCTTAAAAAAATATTAGGGCTGGGATATTGGCTCACTTGTTAGTATTCTTGCCTATCATGCTTGAAGCCCTGTTTGATCTGAAGCATATTATAAACCAGATTGAATGGCACATAATTGTAAAGTGACTCAACTTTATAGAAAATTTAAAGTCAGCCCAGGCTATATGAGCTGGTGCCTCAAAAATCAAAGAAGAAGAAGAGGAGGAGGAGAAAGACCTTTGGCTTTCTTTCCTCCTTGACTGCAGAAGGACAAACAAGCAAAACAAAAATTGTGGAATCAAGACTGTAACCATGAAGTAGTTTGGGTCTTTATTATTTTAGTCCTTTGGGAGCCAGTGTACATTGCTGTAGAGATCAGATGCTGAGAGGTTGCTGTCCAGCACTGGCTAGAGCTGAAGTTGGATCCTGAATAGTGAAAGGAGAGATTTACAAAAACAAAACATTAATGTCAACATATCATTCACAAATCACAAATTAGCTGTAAGCCAGTTTGATGGCATCTCCTTGTAGTCCCTATACTCAAGACTGAGGCAAGAAGACGCTGAGTTTGAAGTTACCCTGGACTGTACAGCAAGATGTTGTTTTTATTTTTAAGTAACCAATACATATAAACCTCTTTTATTCTTTTTTATTGTTACATAGTATTCTGACATTTGTACAACACCATACTTAAACAAGTTCTATAGTGAAGATTCATGTAGGTGATTTTTGCTCAAATGTGTAAGTATAATATGTATTCTTTCCACTTTTACATGGGTTCCTAGGATCAAACTGTTTTTGGACCTACGTAGCAAGAACTTTTATCCATTGAACCATCATCAGAACTCTAAAGAAGGGATTAAGGATAAATATGATGTGTCAATGGGTAAAAGTACTTCCCCTATTCAACCTGACAACCTGGGTTTAGTCCTCAGAACCCACATAAAAGATGCTGTGACACATGTCTATAATTCCAGCACACCTGCTGTGAGATAGGAGGCAGACAGGAGAATTCTCTAAAAGCTTAGAAGGCAGAAACAAGAAACCCTTCCTCAAGGTGGAAGCTGAAAACCCACTCCTAAAAGTTGTCCTCTAACCTCCACACATGCACTATGACAACACACACACACACACACACACACACTTTTAAAATTTAGAAAGAAGGGTCTTAAAATTGGAGATGTAACTCAGCTCAGTGACACAGCACTTGCCTTGCATGTGTGAGGCCCTTGGTTAGGGTAGGGGGTGCAATGGGTGGGCATGGAAGCTAGCAGCAAACAATTAAGGACAGTGCAATGAAGGAGAACTATAGAAGGGAAAGCTTGGGGAGGGAGACAGTAAGCCTTAAGTTATGTAGTAGATAGGGCAAACAAAAATTGTGTAAATCAAGACCATAACTATGAAATAGTTTGGCATTTATCATTTTATCCCTTTAGGAGTCAATCTACATTGACATAAAGATCAGATTTGTTTGGGCTAAATTTTAGGCACATGGTAAATAGGCAAGAGAAAGGAGAAAATGATAGTAAAGAAATGAACATGAGAGTAACTGAAAGATTACGTGGGGTAGGTAGATCTATGTTAAGGAGAATCTAACACCTCCAAAGATTTCAGCTTGGAAAATTGAGTGCTGCCCCTGATGGGATAAAATATATTTTTAAAAATGACCAGGTGTCATAAGCCTTCAGCAGACTGTCATATGTTTC